GAGATTGCGGCAGCTGATGGTCATTACGCTTGATAGTCGTGAAAGAATGCTATCGGTACGCCTTGAGCGGCATACAGCTTGATCAAATGATGCTTCTAGTGGGTGGTGAATGAAATCGGGCTTTGGTGAGGTATGGTGCAAATACAGCTGCGGAAAAGAAACTTGAAACAACCAGTGAGTCGCATTTCGAACAGTTCTGAAGTTTTATTCAATAGCAAAACTTCTGATTTCGAACAGTTCACTATAAAGGTAAGCGAGAAGTAAACAACAAGGAACTATTTGGCGCTCTGAATTTGGTTTTTTTATACTGGACCTGATTAGAGCCTTCATCATCCGTGGAATCGACTCCACAGGAGCTTCGGAGGTATCCACGGATATTCAACTCTGAATTCCCCAAAATGCAGCGGAACTGCTCACTCGTGTTGGTGGTTTTCTTTTCATCTTTCCTTTGACTCATGCTTCAAGTCACCTCAAAGATGCCTGATGGGGTTGAGGAGAAGGCTTTTACTCGGTCATTTTGTCATCCGGATGCTGGCCTTGGGTGCCGGAACCTAGATTTCACGTACTTCTATGTTTGCTTAGGGTCGTTTTTCTGATTTGAAAACAGTTCTTCCAGGCATACTTTATCTATATCCACGATATTTCAGGTACACAAGCCAAGGAAAATCAAAACATAAATTGATAGGAAATTCCGATTTATTGACTTGATTATTGACTGATGTTCAGTGTATTCCTTTCCCCAATATTTGTTTCTTTGTTTTCTAATTGTTCCAAGTTTTTTTTCCGCAATTGTAGGCCGAGCTCTTTCCGGGCATGATTCACTACATATGGGTCGCGGCGATGTGAAAGAGGCGTCACGCGTGTGGCATCGGCATCACACCAAGACCGATTTGATTCGTTGTGGAGTGCTATAATGTGTCAGAATTGACTTCGTAAGAAATGGCGCGCTGGTTCGCGTCCGAAACCGCGACGTATATATCCCGAACTACACCCTTTGCTTCCGAGGTCACATTTTTTCATATAATTCAGCTATCTCGCAGTTTATTAATAGTTCGTCTACTGATAGACCAGTGCCCGTGCTATAGATGTCATTGCCAATTTTGGTCACGTCGGCACCGCTTTGAAGGCTTCGCGAATGAGTCGAACAGCGAGACAAGGCTGGTCACTTTGAAGAGGGAATAGTTATAGATGGATCTCTGATTATGCATCTCCATTGATGATCGATAACGCTCCAAAAAGAACCCGAATGACACACGGAGCCTGCTCCAGTGCTCGTGCTTGAGAGGCTACGCATGTCAACAAAAGGTGAATCCCATGAGTCCATTCAATCAGAATGTGGTTGGCGAAACGAGGAGAAAAGATATTTGTAGGTTTGGAGACTCGAAATAGTTTACTTCCTCCCCGTAGCGAAAAAAATGGGAAGTGGAAGGCAGTATAGCTTTGGTGAAATGTGTTTTAGGCATGGAAATTTGACTTGTGATTTTCTAGTACAATATGAGATAATTTGATCCCCTCTACTTGCATTTCTACCCACTCCATAACGACGAAGGGGTAATTCGATTCGTCAAAAGTTGTTGGATCTAATATTTGCTGCTCAAAAAGTTCATTTACGGTCTGGTTTCTAAGTGAGAGCCTCAGACGATTGTCTACAATCTCCCTAGAGGCTCATTTTTTAGATGAATGTTTGGAAACTCGTTCAGCAGAACCGCGGTGCCGGTTGCTTGCTATAACTCATCAGAAAATAGCGAATTAGAGTGTAATTCCCGGAGTATTGCGACAGACCACAGCGTGTGTTGTTGAAATTTCAAAAAAATTGCGACACTTCAGCTGACTAGAAAGTACTCGGGTTGCAATAGTGGCTGGGTCGACTGGGTCGCGTGGGCGACACTTGCACCGGGATCTGATCGATTTGAACCGCAAGTAGGATATAGCATTGTTGTTGTGAAACGCACAAGGGGCCGTACTTCTCCGCTGGGGAGGAGGTTCGTATTTGGTCGTCGGGTGAGGGGGGTCGCATGTGCCCTCAAGAGAAATTTGCTGCCGGAGGGAAAAATTTTTCCCGATTGTTGACTTTTCGTGATTTCACCTGTTTCATGTGTACTATATCCCCTCCGTTCGACAGAAATCTTCCGGGTGAAAAAGTGGAAAGTGCGCGAAATCGGTAGGTAGGTATTGGGAAAGAGGGAAGTCGTACTGACGCCTTCTCTCAGAGGGGTTACACCACCATTTCACACATCACGATGCTGTACCCTGCCCGTAAGTCGCTGCAAAATGTTGTGGAAGGCATGCAGCGTTCTGGCCACTTGCACGCCATCGCAGGTCCGATTCCCTGGTCGGCCCCATTCTGTACTTCATATTTTGCGAGAAAAACCTGCTCATTTAATCTCTCTCCACAAGAAGTGCCAGGCACCTTCTGGCATTATTACTGTCAAAGGGCTACAGAGCACTATTCATCATGACTAGTTGTATTATTGCTTCTCCAGAGCTGGCTCAGCACCATAGCAAGAAATAGGAAACTGAGTGGACGAGTTATCTCGGCAAATACGCGTTCCTCGTGGATGCTTAACCGATTCTGGATATTGGGAAATCTTTACTCTGCTGTGAAGCAGTTTCATGCGATCCACTCTCATTGTAATAAATCATACTAAAAGAAGTCAATCCTATGCTTCTTTAGAAGTTCTTCTCCTGAGGCAGCTGAGGCGCTGTTCACATTTGCCTTGTGCCACAATTTCTACCGATCAAGTTAGAATCGGCTTCTTTTTCTGAATTCCTCTCCGCCCCCCCTACCTCCCGAAAGCAGAGGAACGGGTGGTGGGCTAGCGCGAACAAAGCAAAGCAAATTTAGTGCAAACTAACTCCATCTCGTGTAAGTTGTTCTTCTCGCTCAGGATCGAAAAAGTAGTCGCCAATTCCTATGAATGGATTTGTTAACGTCTGACCGAAAGTAAAACCATAGCCGAACATCCAATAAGCGAGACCTAAAAGACCTTCCAGTCAGCCAAATTTTTGATCATCCATTCTTTTCCGTAGTGGAGCTGTTAGGTTGATTGCAAAGTACTGTGACACTGTTCTAGAGAAAAGTCAAAACATATTTCGATGTATTGGCCTCTTATTGCTGCAGAGTGTTCTCTAGGGTTCCTGCAAACGTGCAGGTAACGGCTTTGGGGGTGTTTTTGGAGCTTGAGAGCAAGGGTGGTCATAATCTGCTGTGATAAACTTCAAAAGATGGCTAACGTCACGCTCGAACTTGCCTAAGAAGTCTTAATTTCTTCCTAATAAATACGATAAGCGGGCTACTGACGGTAGGCTAACTCACCTCCGAAAATCACATCTACTACGTTCTTCACCATTACGTTCACTTCATCTTTTGGTGATACCCGTCCGGATTCCAGTAGTCCAAAGCCTAAATGTTGAGGCGGTTGGTAGGAGAGATAAAGGTGGCTTTTTGTTCACTAACCGGCTGTCATCGTGAAAATGGTGAAACTGGACGTCATCATCCATACACCATTATCTTGACTTTTTTCGGCTTGCTTGTTCATGATGAGGGGGAGGAACCCGTAGAAATCTGGAAGTTAATTCATCGAAAGATATGTGAAAGCTTATCTGCACGTTAAGGCTGTGACGGAGCTATAAGTGGCGTCACAAGCGAAGCATTCACAAAAGGACCTACTGAAGTAACTGACTCACGATCCAAGAGCTGAAGCCCGTCGGGTCAACTAGCCAGGAAATAATAGCTAGTTTGCGTTTCATAGCAGCCTGGGTGTAACCACCTACAATCTAACCACGGCTGTCATAGAGTTTTAGTCAAATCGCCTTTGTTGAGATTTGACGAAGTTAATTGAAGTGTACAAAAAAAGGCGACGGAGTCAAAAGGTGCCATAAAAGTGAGGTAAACGGGGTCGGAAGCGTGGGTGAAGGTGGAGTAATCGAAGGTTACAGAGGTATGGCATGATTTATGAATGAGCAGCGGCATACTAGTGAAGTAATACCTCCACTGAATAGCTCTATAATGAGCCACAATAAAGAGCTCCATTTACGTAATGTGGTGAGTAGATTAACTTAGGTGGCTTTTATAATGAGAGGCCATGACTGCAGTGGCAATTTAGTTTTAACAATAAGACATCGGACAGTCCTGGTTAGGAAATCTTTCAAAGTCTTTGAAATGCGCCTTGCACTTGAGTTTCATTAGGAATCGTTTATCCCTTTGTGTTCGGATATGTCCCGCAGGTGTTGCGCTGACCATTCTGTGTCCAAATCGGTCCTGGTGGTTTAAAGCTCTTCGAGGAACGTTAGCTTCAACTGGACAGGTTAAAGTTTTCTCACAGTTTCTATGAACGCGACCAAGGCTGAGCGGCACAAGATAGCCAGAATGAACATTTCATTGATAAAAAGCTTTACATTTAAATTCTCTAATGTGCTGTGCCTAAGCCCCTTCCCCGCCTCCAAGTAATGCAGATAAGTGCGGTGTGTGCTATAATGAAACGCACACATTTTTTCCAAGGAACTCGTTGATTCTTTTCTTCTTGCATTTAAATTTTTACGTTCCTTTCACTTCAGTCTTATGTTTTTAGTAAGCATAAAGGGCACATGTTTTCACTATTTTTTGCATGAAAAGTTAGCTCGTCATCCGGGTTGATTTAGGGCGGTCGTCAACGGGCCGCAGCGCGTGCCAGGAACTATTTGCTTTTCCAGGCTAATTTAGTCATTTTTTCCACCTTGTGAAGATAAGGAGCTGCTAATCTGGGAAAAAGTAGCCAAAACAGTGAAAAGTTGGAAAAAATGACTAAATTAGCCTGGAAAAAGCAAGTTTGGCCGGCGTGCGCTCGTTGACGATCGGCCCTACATCAACTGCCCGGATGACGAGGGTAAGAGCTTCCTTTCTTTGGACGCAAGATGTTATCAGTCTATGTTTATGGAAGTTCAAGGTTTTTATCAAACGTAAAGGAAGCTTTGACCATCTGCAGAGGGTGGCGCGGTGTGATCGTAGAGTTTATTCAAATGGGAACAGTTGACAACTTGTGGGATAGTTTAGTTTATTGTGGAGACACCAATGATACTGAGCTGTCTGGCGCGAGCCTGAAGGGGAAGAGTATTCATTGCTCGACAAAGAAATTGGAACCTGAAACCGTTAGTTAACATGTCTTTTTAGCAAAAGGACTACAAGGGGGGAGCCTTCTACCTGCTGCCACCTCCAGCTCTGAACGAAACACTACTTTCTTGTAGCATTATACTAGATAGCAGGAAATATGGAGGGGCAACTGCAATTGTACGGGCGCACGCGCGCACGGTCGGAGGGTTTCAAATTCAGAGTTAGTCACGTCGAGATGGGGTGTATTTCTTCGCCGGGGTCAGTCAATTTGGTACCACGTTTTTCTGGGAAGACAAAGACGCCTGCCACACTTACTTTCCACGGCGACTCGTATGCCATGCAATGTAGCTGTGCTTTCAGAGGAAACTACCGATTTTGGATGAGAGTGAAGAGCATGGCTTATCACAGAAAGCGGTTGACCAGAACCGGAATCTCTATCTTTTTTTCCCTTTATTACCAGCATAACGGCAGAGCAAGTAAAAAGAAGAAAATGAGGGTTGTGCACTGATGGGGACCTATAGGGCAAACTCTTTGATATAGTGCTGAGCTGTAGACGTAAAGCCATCGCTGCTGTTAGAGGCGTGAAGACTAATCATAGTGATTGTCGTCAACACGGGGATGGTGTCGAGAGGATTAGAGCGTGTTGATATGGGAACAGATGGGAAGCGAGTCTGTGGCGTGCTATTTAATCTTGACATGCAATAAAATAGGAAAGCAGGTGAAAAATATTAAAAAACGGTCAGTCATGCGGTCAGATGTTTTGTTTCATTTCAATGAAATGGGGCTTTATCGAGAAAGGGTTGACCATTAATCGGGCATGTTCTTGCGTAACTGCTACATCAGGGCACACAATCCATTTTGTAAGGCAGTTTTGGGAGCACAACTCTTTTTCACGAGAATGTGGCCCCTTGGCCTCTCCCTTCTCGAAGATCCCTCAACGACGATTTACTGCTCTAAGCTGTACTGCCCATCACCACAATAAGGGGTTTTCCTTGAGTAATATATAGAAGCACAAATGTCCTGCCAGTAGGGTCCGACAAGAATAAGTTAAGCACGAGGTGGATGATTAGTGGCAAGTGGTACAGCCACTATACGCGCGGTCCACGGTCACATCCTGGATCGGCTCCCACACAGGTCAGCCAAGCATTCTACCCTGAGGGGATGGTAAATTTGTACTAGTTTCTTCTGAGGGGCAAGAATTCTGATTCGTACATCGTTTAGCGCCCACAAGGCATTACATCTTACTCATTGCATTAAATAAGGCACCACGTTTTCGGATGGAAATGTGCGACATGCCCACAAAGGGATTTATCAGCGGCGAGAACGTTATCC